ACTGTGATCTATGGGGGGGTACCGTACACTATCGCGGACTGGGGCCAAATATTTTTTGACCATTGTCGATGATTTTTCTCGAGCTAAGTGGGTGTATCTTCTAACTAACAAAGATGAGACACCTAGTGTTTTACGCAACTTTTTTTCCTTTGTCCAGCGTCAGTTTGACGCTAAGATCAAAATCCTTCGTAGTGATAACGGGACAGAATTCACATGCATGAAACCATATTTTGCCTCCCAAGGAATTATATTTGAATCCTCTTGCGTCGGCACTCCTCAACAAAATGGGAGGGTCGAACGCAAGCACAGACATATCCTTAATATAGCACGTGCCCTCCGGTTCCAAGCAAACCTACCTATTTCCTACTGGGGTGACTGTATTCTTACCGCTGCATACCTTATAAATCGTACCCCCACACCTTTGCTAAATGGCAAAACTTCGTACAGCCTTCTGTTTGGTCAAGAACCGTCCTATTCCCATTTGCGTACCTTTGGTTGCCTAGCGTATGCCCATAGTCAAATTACACATGGGGATAAATTTGCCAGTCGTTCGCGTCGCTGTCTCTTTCTTGGCTATCCGTTTGGACAGAAGGGATGGCGACTGCAAGATCTCGAAACAAACAAAGTCCTTGTTAGCCGGGACGTTAAGTTCTTTGAAAATTCCTTTCCGTTTGTCTCCCCATCACAGCCCCCGGCAGACCCTCTTCCTGCGGCAGAAGACCTCGTTGATGACGAGCAGGATGTTACGGCCGTACCTGCCAAGACACCTCGCCTGTGCCGCCCCAACAAACCCAAACAGCCACTCCCCACACCGAACTCACCTCCACTGAAACCCAAGTGTCACCCCCCATTAACACCAGCCAACTCCTGTCCTCTTTACCCAACACAAAAAGAACCTCATCGTCCATTCCAGAATCCACCAACCCTCTCCCACCAATACCAACCGTCCCTCAAGAAGGGGAACCCAATCGCCACAGCCACCGTGAACGCCGTCCTCCATCGCATCTCCGGGATTTTGTCATGCACACTGTGCGTGGTACACCGCCGCCTTGTCCAACCGATTCAATCCCCGCTTCAGGTACGGCACACTGTATTACCAAATTTGTTAACTGTGATAATTTTTCTTCCACACACAGAAGTTTTTTGGCAGCGATTACTGCAGATGAGGAGCCAACTAGTTTCAAAGAAGCTGTCAAACACCCGCACTAGAGGACGGAAATGAAGGAGGAATTGGATGCACTGGCCGCCAACGGCACTTGGTCCTTAGTCTCACTCCCTCCGAACAAGAAGGCAATTGGTTCGAAGTGGGTCTACAAAATTAAACACAAGTCCGACGGCAGCATTGAACGATATAAAGCCCGACTTGTGATTTTGGGCAATAGACAGAAAGAAGGCATTGATTACAAAGAGACGTTCGCCCCTACGGCCAAACTCGTGACTGTCCGCACTCTGTTGGCAGTAACAGCCGTGCGCAATTGGAGTCTCCACCAAATGGATGTCCATAACGCCTTCCTACACGGCGATCTCAACGATGAAGTGTACATGCGGCTTCCCCCGGGTTTTGCTTGCCGCCGGCAAGGCATGGTCTGCCGACTGCACAAATCTCTTTACGGCCTATGCCAAGCACCGCGATGTTGGTTCTCTAAACTCACCATAGCTCTTCGCAAGTATGGCTTCACACAATCCAAAGCAGACTACTCCCTCTTTACCTTGGTGCGTGGCCAGATGGAACTCCGAGTGCTTATCTATGTGGATGACTTAGTACTCACTAGAAATGATGAAGCATTTATCTCCCGGTTTAAACACTACTTGTCTGAATGCTTCCACATGAAGGACCTTGGCTCACTGAAATATTTTCTTGGTGTCGGACTCTCGGACACAGGTCATCTGGGGTGCCGTCCAGCAGCCACCCCACTTCCAGCCAATCACCACCTCGCTCTAGCGACAGGCCCATTTCTCTCGGATCCTACTTCTTACCGGCGGTTGGTTGGACGTTTGATTTATCTTACTATCACTCGCCCGGACTTGACATACGCCGTACACATCCTATCTCAGTTCATGGCAAGGCCTCGTCGTGATCATTGGGATGCTGCAGTTCATACTCTTCGGTACATTAAGGCACGTCCCAGGCAAGGTTTGATTCTCACCGCTACGGGTCCTCTTAAACTCGTTGGTTTTTGTGATTCCGACTGGGCAAGTTGTCCCCTCACTCGTCGGTCGGTCTCTGCTACTTCATTTGTTTGGGTGGGTCTCCTATGGCGAACAAAGAAACAGAAGACGGTGTCTCGATCCTCGGCAGAGGCCGAATATCGCGCCATGGCGACCACCGTGTGCGAGATGAAATGGCTGCGCAGTTTGCTATCCTCACTCGGCGTCCCGCATCCGCAACCGATGACACTACATTGTGACAATCAAGCAGCCCTACACATCGCAGCGAATCCGATGTTTCATGAACGAACCAAACATATTGAAATCGATTGCCACTTTGTTAGGGACGAGATTCAACGTGGCATTCTCCGTACGGCGCACATCTCTTCGACCGAACAACCCGCAGACATTTTCACTAAAGCGCTTGGCACTGGTCCGTTTAATCATCTTTTGTCCAAGCTGGGCACGCGGAACCCCCATGCTCCAACTTGAGGGGGGGTGTTACGCATGAACGTGTGGCGCAAGGAGGAAATTGGGTGGCGGCAGTGTTCTAGTCCCAGTAGGTTTTGGTTTCCTTACTTGTTGAGGTGTTTAGTAGTAATAGGTTTTCCTCCCTATATTAAATGGGGACATCCGGGTACACAAAGAAAAAACACAGAAGAATATTTACTCTCAATTGGTTTTTACGGCCCTGCCTCTGGTTTTCAAATCGAGACTCTGTAGGATTTATTTGGAATTTAAAAGTCTATGTGTATTCAATTGAGATTTTAAAATATCATTTAAAATTTCTAGGTATTCAACAAAGATTTTAAAAAATCTTTGTAAATATAATGATATTAAAAAATGATAGATTTTGAAGGATTGTTAAAAGATATGGATTGTGAAGGATTTTATGCTTGAAGTATAAATAGAAATTTTGTTTTCAAATCCAACCAAAACCTACGGACTTACGGATTTTGTGTGGACTCCAGCCTGCCGAACTTTCTTCTCCTCTTCCTACACATGTCTTTGTCTTCTCCGACAATCCCCTCCCTCAATCTCCCGCAGCAGACGCAAAGTCGCAAAATCTAAACAAGCAATCCCAGAGAAATCCCCAGGGACACTTCCTAGCCCAATCACTGTTCCTTTCCTGTCTTTTTTTGGAAGATCTAAGGCGTTCCGGCAACCAAGGGCGGGGGGAGGATTGGAATTCGCCGATTGGGTTATGTTCGGGAGCCGCAAGACGGCGACGAAAATCGTTGAGATGGGTACCAGTTTGTTACCGTTGGCGTCGAGTATTGACCGCGCCGTCGTCTCGAATCTTGCGGCGATGGCTGCTGCGCTGTCCCCCGACTGGACGTTGTAGGTGACTAAGAAGTTCTGCAAGTCCATGATATATGTCAATAAATCATTTCAAAATTTTACATTATAAACAATTTCTTCATTTATTCCTAATTTGAATCTGTACTCAGGTTCACAATCAATATCACACAATAAGTCAACATGCTGGATTTATCTCTATGAGATTTATCCTAATTGTGATATTGGATATCAAAACACATTTTATTTCGGCCCAAAGCCCAACAACAATTTATTTTAATCAAAAGAAATTTGACTAATTAAATATTTATTCATTAAAAATTTTAGGGTATGTTTTGGGTTGTTACAAGTCTTCCTGGTTGAACCTTAAATCAAAACCAATAAACTTTATGGATGAGTTTTATCGGTTAGTCTAAAGAAATTGCAAAGAAAATAAACATTAAAACTCATCCATGAAGGTTATTGGTTTTCGAATTTGGGTTCCACTAGTTAGACAAACAATTGAGAGAAGAGTGATTATTTTGATTTTGGGTTCAAAGCTTCAAACTCAGCGACGAGTTTGGAAAAGGGGTGCGGGGGCCGGAGGAAGAAAGCTTAATTGAGAAGAGAAAGGAGTGTGAATTTACAATTTTGTCCACGTTCTTAACGGAAATGTTTACAAAAGACCATTCGTGGAAATGAATATAATAATTGGGAACTAAATTAGTAATATTTGACATGTAGGGACTAAATATGTAAACCGACCTATAACTGGGGACTTTTTATGGAATTTACTCATGAATTTATGTTTAACTCAATATTGTATTCAAATTTGTATTTTGACACTTATTTTATGAAATTTTATATTTAATATATTGCCATTAATTATTTTCCGTGCTCCACACGGGTATAAATCTAGGGTTTTCAGCGACGGAGGGAGTACGGAGTATTATTTTTTAAAAAGTAGTGTCATTTTTGCCAAAACATAATACTTGAGTATCATTTTTGAGAAATGCTAAAGTCACAAATTCTTTGATCACAAAATACACAACCTTGTCATTTGTGTACCTCACCAAGTAAATTAAATAATGTTAAATAATTAAAAAGCAAGCATTTAAATACACAAATGGTAAGGTTGTGTATTTTGTGATCAAGGTGTTTGTGACTCTAGCACTTCTCATCATTTTTAAACTTTTTAAAAATATAATAACGTCATTAAAAGAAAATACTCCCTCTGTTCCTGAGTAGTTGTCTACTTTTGACTTTTTTGTCACAATTGATAAACTTTGACTACAATTTAAATAAAAATGATATTACATATTGAGACAAAAATAATTTTACTAGATTCATTTTATTAATTTTTTAAAAAATATTATTTTATCTCATTCATATACAATATATATTTTATTTGATTATAAGTGAAAATATAAAAACAACTGATTGTAAAAGATCAAGAATGGACAAATAATCAAAATAAAAAATTACGGAATAATAAGCATTTTTGTCCCACCATATGTCAAACGGAGTGTATGGCCTGTGAGAAGGATAGGTTCTGGAGAACTCTGGAAGCAAACGTAGAAAGCTCCTCTCCTCACTTAAATTTTTCACATCAATGGCGATTCTCTCATCATCGATCTCCATAGCCAGTTTCTTCGAAGCGCGCAAGAGAGATACAAAGATCTAAACGACGAAGAGAACAAAATGTCTCACTGTATCTCAAGATTCACAGTTCCACACACTTTATTGGCAACTTCATCACATAGACCTCGCACCGATCTATCATCCTCTCCGGCGAATTTCCCCAATCTGGTCGCCGTTAAAAATGGCGGAAGAAGAGGAATCGCAGCCGTGGCGGCGGATGGCCGAGACGGCCTTGACCAATTGCAGCAGAGGTCAATCAAGAGCCAGCCCAGAAGAAGGTCTTCCCCGGCAGTGGCACCCGTAGGTAAATATGATAGAATCTCCTGGTCAAATTCTTCTCCCTTTCTATTTATTGGCAATTTCCCTGCATCCAAATATATCCAAATATTTCTATGGTTTATTGTACTTTTACCTGGAATTATATTGCAACTGTGAGTATTGTTTTCTATCACCTTTGAAAATCACTCTAGAGGCCCTCAACACACCCAAACAGTTCCTAAAAGTCTGGTTTGAAAATTTATTATTCTCCTGTACGAAAGTGTTAAAAGTATTCCACATTATATTGCATATCGAAAATTGAGAAAAAAAATAATAGATAAGATTGAAGAAATTTGGAAGGAAAAGAAAAGAAAATGATTTTCTCTCATTTTCTTCTCCAAAAATTTGGGTTTCCTCCATCTGGTACATTTTGCCTTCTTATATTTTTCCCACTTTTCCTTTCTTTTCCCCTCTAACCAAACAACAAAAATTGTTTTTCACTTGATTTTCTTTTATTTTCCCTTTCAAATTTCTTGAACTAAACATAGTGGTAACTATTAAGTTGAATTGAGTAATCAATTGGATTCAATTGTGTATTTCATTCCAAGTATCTTATCTTATTATCTTATGACTCAGTCGAGTAACCATTGCCCTATTCTAAATTCTATAAAAAAACAAAGAAGCCTAAAGTAGAAACTGTGTGGTTCAAATTCTGTGTAGGTTTGTGGGATAGGTTTCCAACTGCAAAGACAGTGCAACAGATGCTGGAAACAATGGAGAGACTGATGGAGGACCCAATGGCCTACAATGGAAGGTGGTCTTCTTCCTCTTCTTCTTCTTCTTCCTCCTCCGCACCCCAAGAGAACGGAGGAGGGTATGGGTTTGGGAGGGGGAGAACGCCGTGGGAGATCAAAGAAGGCGAGGGCGAGTACAAGATGAGGTTCGACATGCCTGGGATGGCCAGAGAGGATGTCAAGGTGTGGGTCCACGAGAGAATGCTGGTGCTCAAAGCAGAGAAAGCAAGGAAGAAGATGAAGACCAAGAAGAGTGGAGAGGAAGAGAATGAAGGTGATGATGAGAGGGAGGAGGAAGAGTGGCCTGCAAGTGGGTTTGGAAGGTATGGTACCAGAATTGCCCTCCCTGAGAATGTGGAGTTTGAGAAGATCAGGGCTGAGGTTAAGGATGGTGTGTTGTATGTCACCATACCAAAGGCTACTCCTACTGCTAAGGTTTTTGACATTAGTGTTGATTGAGAAAGAGTGATTGTGTCTTATTGGCTGTTGTATTGAAGGTCTCTTTGGTCATCTCATTTAATTTTTTTTTAATGATTGTTCTCTTTTATGGATTTTGTGATAATGGCCTTGTTTGGAAAAAGTATATACAATTAATGTTAGTGTTTTGGATAAAATTTAACGGTGTAAATTAACCTTAATTCTGAAAATGTTAATGCTAAAGTCTAGCCTTTTCAAAATGCTAATGCTAATTTCTAATGCTAATGCCAAACGGGGCTAATATCAATTCCCAAATCAGAGAAGAAAATGACATGAAATTGTAAGAAAATGACACGAAATTGTAAGAATCGCCCAAATCTTCTTCAGTAATTGCTCTTTTTCAACAATTGTTGTTCAAGTTTCATATAAATTATTGAGTTTGATTCGTTAATGTGTTCTCAATATCTAGGGGTACAATAAAAGTGTACCCCATTTGTCTCCCACTGGTTTACCCCCTAGCATTTTTCATTTTATTAAGTCATTACTGTAAATTTTTTTTTTCAAATAGTCCATTAACTACTTGTTTTAAATTACTAGTAAATGTTGAATTTGCTTTTGATCCCTAGAAAATCAATAATTTTGTTTTCTCTAAAATATATTAAATCTGATCTAAAGTAATTTTGTTTTTGCTCCTTTTAAACTGTTGAGTCCAAAATATTCACTAATTATTCTCTATTAAATCAGTATTTTTGGGCATTAAAAAGTGCGTTTTTACACTTAAATAATCATATTTGCATTCTAGGCATTATTTATAAAATATGTTCATAATGCACACTTTTCAGTTTATTTTTGAATATTATTGTTGTGGATCCAAATTCTCCTTGACAAAGGTTATTAGATATATTATTGGAGCATAAAGTGCGGGCTGAAAATGTGAAAGCAATCCAGTTGGGCTCTACCCCGACTTATGGTTTCAACGGAATTCCGGGGCCAAGATGACAAAGCCCAAAGGTCCACCTCCAATACACACAAAAATTGGAGAGAAGCTGCGTAAAAAGAAGAGACTCCCTCTCCTACTGCTGTTCGGCTCTTCAACGCAACTGGAACCGGAGAAATCGCGAAGCACAGCTGGAGGGCAGCGCCAATTCAGAAGTGAAGAATCCTAATCGAAGACGGAAGAGACGAAGAGCACCTATAAATTGAGGGGGGCGCTGCGAATAACATCACCACCACCGATCAGAGTAAAAATCAGAGCTGAAATTCCAAAAGGGTATGAACCCTAGGGGGTTCGGATCTTGTATCCGAAACCCCCTTTGCTAAATTCTTCTTTTCCATGTTTTTACTTCCTTTTAAATTGTTACTGAAATAGTGTTCGTTTGCTTTCTTAGTTTTGGATTTGGTTTAATTCTCTTAGTATTTTTATTGGGTGAGTACAACTAAATAATTGTTTTTGTGAACTCCATGTGTGGCTTGTTCAAAGTTAACAAAGCTAAAGCCTTATTATTACTGTCATAGCACGAAGTGGATAATTACCATGTCTTTTCATTATTCCACTTCTAAAACATACCGTGGTTGGTTCTGCAATTGGTCTTGGTGGAATATTTTTGAAGCATTTCTTTAGTGTGTCCATGGTTTGCTATTTCAAGAGGGGTCTGGATATTGTTGTTTGATGTGCAATCATCTTGACACCATAGTTTAGGTTGTCATTTGAACTTGCTGACAGAATTCCAGTAGGGAGTAAAAGCTAGTAAAAAACCCATTGGGTTATCATTTTGCACCAAATTCTTTAAACTAAAGAGAGTAAATGTTTGTGTTTGTATATATCCAGCAAGTATTTTTGGTATAAAATTCGCACAAGAAACCAGAATTTTCGGAGGTAGTATTGAATCTTGTTGTTTAAAAATTGAATCTGTCTATGAGTTTAAACATTTACTTCAAGTTTAATACTCTTAAAATAATTCAAGCTTTTGCTACTTTTAAATTATTTCAAAGGTGTTTGAGAACTATTTTCCAAAAGATTTTACTTAAGTTGGGTCAAATTAGGATCGCGACCCCCACCCTGGCCGTAAGTATTCGCTCATAGGATTGTAGACTGTCCCCACAAACTAACACAAGTCTTTCCCGCACACTTTGTCCTCACTCGTGCACGCCCAAGGAAAACTTCCCAGGGGTTTACCCATCCTAGAATTGCTCCAGGTCAAGCACGCTTAACCTTGGAGTTTCTAGGTGATGAGCTCTCGAAAAGAAGATGCACCTTGTTGGTATGAGTAGTACTATCAATCCTTTTTGAGCCCTTCTCATTCCCATCTTGATACGGGGTATTACATTCACCCCCACTTAGGAATGCAACGTCCTCGTTGCATCCTTTTTTTTGACCCATAGATCTTTCCCGCTAGGTGAACTAAGCTCTTCTGGCCCGTCACGGTCGCAGGGTTGCTCTGATACCATTTGTAACACCCCGGCCCCCACCCTGGCCGTAAGTATTCGCTCATAGGATTGTAGACTGTCCCCACAAACCAACACAAGTCTTTCCCGCACACTTTGTCCTCACTCGCGCGCGCCCAAGGAAAACTTCCCAGGGGTTTACCCATCCTAGAATTGCTCCAGGTCAAGCACGCTTAACCTTGGAGTTTCTAGGTGATGAGCTCTCGAAAAGAAGATGCACCTTGTTGGTATGAGTACTACTATCAATCCTTTTTGAGCTCTTCCCATTCCCATCTTGATACGGGGTATTACATTGATATTCTTTTAAAGTCCAAAGTGCTTTAAATAGCCAAACTTTTCTAGAAACCAAGTGTCACTTGATTAGTACTAGATTGCCTCGTTAAGTGATTTTTGCTAATCAAGGTTCTCAAACTGATTTTGTTAAATAACCTTCGTGTTACTGCAAAATTGTTACGGTGATGTTTTCCACAAATCTTATTGCACTATTCTTAGTAGTAATCTAAGAGTTGGTCTTTGGGTTGCTAAGGGTAGTAGGGTTTAGAGTTAGGGTTGGTCCTAACATGAGCTTTTATGAATGGGAAAATAGGGAAGAGCCGTTGGTGGATCTCTTCTTCAGCCTAACCCTCGTTTTAATTTATAGTTGGTTGATGATTATGCTAGTTTTCAACAAAGTTTTGATCCTGGATATTTATTTTCTATATTATAAAACATTTTGTTGGTTTTCTAAAATTGTTTAAGTCTCTAAATTATTGTGTTATGTGTGCTTGTCTTCTTCGTTTGGGCTTTTTGGTGGAGTTATGTTCTGTTTTTATCCTTGGTTTGTTTTGAGATTTGTTCTGGTGTGGTGTGTCACTTTAGTTAGTTTTTT